ATGAGGATTCCTTACGAAAGAGCACAAAAAATACTTACTGCCACGCAAGAAATTACTAACTTCCTTCCTCTTCGAACTTCTACATCTCCAGAACGAATATCCGAATGCTTCCATAATAGTCCAGAGTCTTCTTCATGTAAACATATGGCATTCTTTATTGTAACAGGGTTGCCAAGTGTATCATGAACAACAGCATCGAAATAGGTTATGACTCCCAAACAGTCACAACCAAGCTTCAGAGAGTTACAGCAAAACCCCAAGCCATATTCTCCAACATCAAATGCTCTAGGATTGAAAATAAAATAGATTCGCCAGAACTATAGTCATAAATAATAAATGCTTACATCTTTCGATTATGTGGTGGTCGAGGGTCTCCATACGGAACTAACATTTCAGCTAATGATGCACGATGAAGAACTTTTCTGTAAGTTCCTTGGTCACAGAATTCAACATCTCTTAAAACTAAGGCTTCTCGAACATTGAATCCAATATGCAGTCGCCAGTTTTGCCATTCCACAACATGTCCATCCACTTGAAAACTAACTCCCTTAGGTTGGCAAGTAGAGAGAGGTTTCAAATTATCACGCAAATTCTCTTCGCCTAGTTGGCGAACAGTGTACGGATACTGGGTTCTCGGAATGGGAGATATCAGCTTCTCGTGGAGTGTATAATAGATAATTTCCATTAAGTTCAAGTCTACAATAGGTGTAAAGCCTTCGATAGGATGAGCATACAAATTATCATCTTTCGCATTCATTCGGCACCACAGAAAAACTTGCACTAAACGACGACTCTGTTCCCATGTCTCTCCATCATTTCCAATACCCCAACCATCCGCTATAACAAGATCCATATTATCAAAATGATAATACTTTTTCAAAATAAATTGAACTTTTGGATCCTTCTTCACAACTCTCTCCACCTCCACTAGTTCATCAAACATAATACGAGGTTGAACATCTTCCATCTGATAAAGATTTGTCAGCGGCCAAGTATGGCAAATGATCTGAATAATAAGAAGAATGGACTTACACATTTCCAAGAAACTACTTCTTGTTTTTTTAAGTGGACCAGCGCTTGATACATAGTCTGCAAAGTGTTATCTAAAATACCAACCAAAACTTGACGAGCAATAGAAAACTGATGATGCTTCCAGTGTGAATATTCTTCTTTGCTGGGCTCCTTCAGATCAAAACTGACAAAACGAAAACGCCCTTTTGGAAAGGAAGGATAACTTAGACAAATCTTCCTTGCCAAACTTATTTCAGCTTCATTTATGGGGTCAAAAGGATGCATAGACATCTAGAATAAAACAAAAATCAACACCAAACTGGGGTCCGTTGTTCTTATGCAGTGTAACACACGCTTACCTCTGAAGACTGTATTCAAACAACCCTTGAATGTTTTTCACCTGGGAAATGTTTCAAGTAAAATCACTTTTGGCAATGGTAAAATTGATTCAAGCCTCCAACTATATACAATCATTCATGGACGATTCAATGGGAAAGAGAAGAAAGGCAGAGAGGACATTCATTTCGACGTCGTGAGGACAATCAATCGTTGTCGCCTCTTGCTGTATCGTTGAACCCATTGACATTCGATCAAGCCTTAGTCTCATCTACTATGCAGATCTTATCTTTGTTAACGGAATTTTGTGCTCCGAAAAATTCTCATACATATTCTCTTTGGTGTTATTTCTCGTTTGTGAATACATCATCCTGTGTGAGAGAAAAACAAAGTATCAGAAAGCTATGCTCTTGGAACGTTTCCCTTGGCTCAAGTTCTTTCAACCTCGACCCAGCAAAAGTGACACAACCTTATCTGGCGCACACGGTTCTTCAAAGGGGAAACTTCGACTGTTGCATCTTGTCTTTCAATCCATATCTGGAATTTCTCCCGCTGGATCAGCCGCAGCCACTCTGACAGCCGCAGCTTACTATGCAAAAGGAGCTTTACCTTTTGCACAACTTTTGTCTTTCATAGCAGGTTATCTTTTAGTCAACACCACTTGGTGGTTTTCGAGACAAGTAGCAACTTCAGGTGGTTTTCTTGGTTTCGCAGCTGCAGGAATAGGACCTCGATGGGGTATTGTTGCAGGTTCCCTGTATTATTTTAGAAAATTTGTGCACCTTGGGATATTCTTCACTCTTCTTAGCGGGTCCTCTTTTTTCAGGAGTGATAGAGTCACTTACTGGAAAGACCTATCCTACCAAAGTATGGGTAGCAATACTCATTGGTTTCTATCTTCTCATTGCATTAATGGTATTTTCTGGCATTCGCTTATCTTTGGACGTTGCTGCCTACACTGGAATAGTTGAGCTGATATTACTCTTTGTTATTGCCGTAGTTATTGCAGCTAGAGCTGGAGACCTCAATACTGGACAAGCATTCAATCCTGATAATGCCAAGAATCGTCCAGACTTTGCTATTGGAGCATTGTTATCTTTGTTTACGGTAGCAGGCTATTCCTCTGCTGTCAATCTTGCTGAAGAAGTTTCTCGTCCTCGAAAACAGATCCCTATCGCTGTTCTTATAGCTTACACTACATGTGGCTCTATATTTGTGATTACTGCTTATGCTTATACTATTGGCTGGGGATACAAACATATGGACTCATTTGCCAACGCTTTAGTTCCTGGAATAATCCTAACTAGACAATATGCGGACGATTTTCTGGCTTGGCTGTATTTTATTTTTATATTTCAATCTACTTTTTTTATTTGTGTAGCTTCCTTATTAGTAGCTGTTCGAATAGTGTTTGCTATGGCTAGGGATGGTATCATTTTTCCTTGGTGGACAGCCAAACTTTCGAAAACGGGAGAACCTCATTATGCCACTGCACTGAGTTTGATAGTATGCTTTATTATATCTCTGGTTACTGGTCTCATTATGGGTAGTGATGATGGTTATAATTTCTTAGCAGTTTGTTCAACTCTTTCGATTTTTTCTGCTCATATTTTAGCAAACACTTCCTTACCCTTTTACTTTAGGAAAATCAAAAAGTTTCGTGTAATTTTTCATGCCATTGCTCCTATATTAGCCAATTGCATGTTATTATTTGGTATTTTTTTTACTATGTATCCATATGATCCTCAGACATTAGGTGCACCTATATGGACTGGAATTTGGTTGATTGCTACTTTCTTATTGACATATGTTACTCCAAAAGAGAATCTAGACCTATACATGAAGAGACTAAATATCCGTTCTTATGATTCTAAAGCAACTGGAGGAGAAAGAAATGGGGGTAATACTGGAGAAGAAGATGGAGTCGATGACGCTGAATCGCAGAATATCGTCAACAATGGCAAAGTGGTTGATGAAATTGTGCCACAAGTAACATTGGATGGGAAAGGCAATGAATCTCTTGAAGAGATATCAAAGCCATGAATACTTTGAGATTCATATGAATTCTTATTATGTGTGTTTTCTTTTGTTTTGTGGTCTTTTGAGTTGGTTAGAATAAATGCTAATCTTGCATTTCAACTATTATCTCAGTTTTCCGCTAAACGAACTACTGAAGTTTGTATCTCCTTATATTGAGTGTTTTATTTCTGGAGTTATTCCAGCTCTTACCAAATATTGCATATCTCCATAAAGAATGCCTTGGAAATTCTAATTTGTTCCACTTCGTGGTTAAAAAACTCAGTCAACTTGCTGTCTTGTTAGCATTTCTCTCGAGGGAGAATTGAATGAAATGTCCACTTGAACACTGAGCAAAGAGCACTCGAATTCTATTTCTTCTTCTAATGGACAACGGAGTCTGGTCCTATAGATAGGGATTGATGGTAATTGCTCTGTCCGTTATTTTAGACAACCTAGATATCGTCATCTGTTTTCGTTAAACATGAGTACCTTCTCTCTTGACTTGATAGAAAAGGACTTCGTACATTACTGGTTAATGTCAAAAAACAGTTCTCTGGCTCCTTCTACGTTCATAGACATATCAAACGGGTTTCGAGCGAAGTTTGAATCCGAAAACTTGAACATCAACCTCGACTTTCTGGTCTGTCCACAAGCTGTTGTCAATAACATTGTTTTAGGACAGGTAAATCCAACTTCCAAAGAGTTCAGGAGCTTAAAGCTATCCTTGTAGGTTTTTGGAGACCCTTACTACTTTGCCTTGCCAGAGACGTTAAGCCAAACGGTGCACCCCACAAGTCGGCGATTTGTATTTGATATGGAACAAAGTGAGTTTCTAGAGGTAAGTTTTTTAGAGTCTTTTTTTAATAATCCCACATATTCTATTTCGCTTTCTGCGTGTGTGTGCGGAGTAGTTTCACTGGTATACCAACCAAAACATGTTATTGACCATCTGGCTTAAGGTGAGCCCTGGCAGTAGGAAAATTTTTTACAGAAATAGATTCTAAAGTGAAGTTGCCACAGTTTGTGACAGACACTCGGCTAATGAGCTATTTTGTGATGTACGATATGACAGGAAACAAAAGTAGACGACCACAGAGAGTGATTCAAAGTAAAGAGATTGTGTTGCAGAAGCAAACTTTAGAGATGGAAAGCGGGCAGTTGTTTTCTGAAGCTAAAGGTGGTGCAGTTCCCTCTTTTTTGCCTAGTGAAGGAATAGAAAGAAGGCTGGAAGCCGTGCCCCAAGCCCGAGAATTCGTCAGGAACTTATTAGGCTTCTTTGAAGGATTTATAAGAACCTCGGAGTTCGAGTTAAATACATTCAAGCTACTGAAGAGCAGTATCGCACCTTGCAAAATTGATATTAGTTGTCGAGAACCGAGTGAGGATTTGAAGCTACGTGAACGAAGTCGATGGTGTATGCGGTCTTCATTGTTTCCCAGCTTGCCCGTTGTGAAAGACCGCGAACCAGTTAGCGTGGTCCACAAACTTATGCAATGTACTATATCTGATATGGAGAGACTTGAAAGTTTCTTCAGCTCCTGTCATTTTCAGACGCTGTCACCGCCAAATCATAGTATACAACATGTTTCTGAGCAAGATAAATTCTTATCTTTTTCTCAATCTGAAACAGTCAAGCCGAAGTCTTCAGCTGCCGAAAAACGGAAATGCCATATGCCACGAAATCCCAGTATGAGAATGCAGCAGAGATATGAAGCTACAGAAAGGGAGTTGTATGATAGTCGCTTTGGGGATATGATTTCTTCTGACTCACTGATTCCTTCTCCAACTTACACTTGTTCCAGTGAGACGAATGAAGTGGGACAAGACAAAGGGGAACCTGGCGATTGCTACTTGAACACCGACTTTTTCTCTGAAAGTACTTTGCACACTTATGGATTTTCATTTTCGTCAGATTTTCCAAAGAGAACAGAATAGGAGAATAGATAGAAACGATGGAGTTTCGCGCGAAACAAGTCCTATTGTAAAATAAGCCTATGAATTGTCAAAATATACTTTGATCTTCTCTTCGTCGTATGTCTAACAATGGCTTGTATCATAAGGTATCTCACACATCACATAGACATAAAATCCTCGTTTAAGAAAATGAGATACGCTTTAATTCCAAAGCAACAAACAAAAGAACGCAAATGAAACTTTCATGTGTATATGAACTTTCTTGTAAACTAAAATAGCTCCAAAGGTTGGTCTTTGTAGTTGACTATAACATTTTTGATCTGTTGATAGTGTTCTAAAGCAATCTTATGACATTCTCGTCCAAAGCCAGACTTTTTATATCCTCCAAAAGCTGAATGGGCGGGAAATTCGTTGTAACAATTCAACCAAACTCGTCCGGCTTCCAATTGTCGTGACACACGATATCCTCGAATATTGTCACGAGTCCACACTCCTGCAGCAAGTCCATATGAACTATCATTAGCCATTTGAATAGCGTCGTCTTCATCTTGAAAAGTACAGATACAAAGTACAGGTCCAAAAATCTCTTCTTGAAAAACCCTCATATGGTTATTTCCTAAAAAGATACAAGGATCCTGTTGATAGGGACTATCATTCTTGCAGTTGGATATAGTTATACATTTGGCTCCTTCTGCTTTGCCGATTTTAATGTATTTTTTGATACGTTGCACTTGTTCTAGACTTACTTGGGCTCCAATAATAGTGCTGGTATTCAAAGGGTCACCATGACGTATCTTATTCAGAACCCTTTGCATTCTTTCTAGGAACCTTTCCAATATACTTTCTTGAACAAGAGCACGTGAAGGACAAGTACAGACTTCTCCTTGATTTAATAAGAACATCATGGCACCTTCTATGGCCTTCTCTAATAAGCCGTCATCCTTATCCATAATATCTTCAAAGAATATGTTGGGAGACTTGCCACCCAATTCCAAAGTCACAGGAATGATGTTATCCGCAACATATTTCATGATTTCTTGACCTGTTGCTGTTTCACCTGTAAAGGCAATTTTTTTTACCTTTGGATGAAGAGCCAAAGGTTTCCCTACTTCTGGTCCATAGCCATTTATGACATTAATAACTCCTGGTGGAATAACTTCCATTAATAATTCCATCAATACCAGAATAGAAGCAGGAGTTTGTTCTGCTGGTTTTAAAATGGCACAGTTTCCAGCTGCTATTGCAGGTGCTAACTTCCAAGATGCCATAAGAATAGGATAGTTCCAAGGAATAATCAACCCAACTACTCCCAAGGGTTCATGAAAGTGATAGGCAACAAGAGTCTCATTGATTTCGGATAGAAAACCTTCCTGGGTAGCGATGGCCCCAGCAAAATACCGAAAATGAGTAGCAGCGTCAGGAATATCCTCCAACAGAGCTTCTCGAATGGGTTTTCCATTATCCCAAACTTCAGCTACGGCTAGTTTTTCCCTATTCTCATCCATTACTTGTGCTATTTGATATAATACTTTGGCTCTGTCTTGTGCAGAAGTTTTTTTCCACGATTGCCAACCTTTATATGCATGTTCCATTGCAACCTCAACGTCTTCAGCAGTTGACCTTGCACATTGACAGAATACTTTCCCATCAACTGGTGAAACGTTATCAAAATAGTTTCCCCTGACAGGTGCTATCCATTGATTACCAATAAAGTTGTCATATTTGGGGCGAAAGCTGACTAAACAACCTGCTTCACCAGGTCTACTGTATACTTTCTCACTCATTCCTTCAATCAAATTTGAAATTTGATAAATGAAGAATCAAGAACACGATAGCAGTAAGACAATCTGTTAATATTTGCTATAAATATCCCACTTCTTGTACTAGAAGAAATCAGTACAATGGCTAAGGGACTTCTGTCCAACGGGCTTCCTGAACAATTCCAACGGATACCGACGATGAGTCCTGGCGACTTTGTAGCACTCGAATGGATAATGAATATTATCGAAACCTATTGTTCTTGTATTGATCATAGTTAGGATCAATACTGAAGGCAAGCACTAACCTCTGTGGCAACTGGAAATAGGAAGCTGAAAATTATTTGTGATACATTTGAAACATTCGTGGAAAGTAGAAAAGATAGTGCCCGGCATTAGAAAGGAAAACAATTGAAGTTTCTGAAAATCGCACTTGAAAGATTGAAACCAAACAGACCACATTTTTTCTCTTTGGTCTAGGATATATCGACTCAGTATAGGATAGGAATGTTCCACGGGAAGCAAATCGTTTCGTTTTTACTGATCAGTTCGCTTCGACTCCAGTTATTTAACTCTTCTGCATACAATACAATGCCTTCTGTGAACGGATACCTCTCCGCTTATTGAGTCGCCTTCGTGAGACGAGGGGAAGAAATGTCGACAGTCAATATGGAAGTACAATATCACAAATGTTCTGAATACGTTTGTTTCTATAATCAAAGAACATAGACTACTATTCATATCTTTATTATCATTTCTTATGGGTTGGCAGCTGAAAGTTTACCGATGGCTGTTCTAACACAACACAATGAATACCTCCACCACCTAGTAAGATCTCTCTTGCAGGAACTTGAACAACTGATCGTTCGGGAAACAACTCTTGAAACAAATCTAACGCCAGCTTGTCATTTGGGTCATCATAGGAAGGCAGAATCACCACGCCATTGCCAATGTATGCATTGACATAGGATGCAGGTAACCGTTGTCCAGTGTTTCTGGACAAAGCCATCCTGAAGTTTGTGAACTGAAGTTCTTTTATTTCTTCCTCGGTACGATATTGCGGAGCAGGCCCTAAAACCTTATGGATTTGGAATTTTTTGCCTCGAGCATCTGTTGAGTTTTCTAAAATTTCCAGAGCTGTTGCAGATCTCTTATATTGTGGGTCTTGACGGTCTTCTGTCCAATGTAAAACAACATGTCCTGCTTTGGCAAACATACAAAGATTATCTACATGTCCATCTGTATCAATGTCTCCATACACTCCAAATGGAAGCCAAATGACCTTTTCTACGTGAAGATATTCTTTCAATTTGGCTTCTACTTCTTTCTTTGTCATACCAGGATTGCGATTTCTGTTCAGTAAACATTCCTCTGTCGTTATAATGGTGCCTTCTCCATCGGTCACCACTGCTCCCCCTTCCAACACCAGAGATGCTTCTACCCTCGGGATGCGTTCGATTTCTAGGATCTTCGAAGTAACAAGAGAATCGTACTCCCAATCTGGATAGCAGCCCTCTAAGGATCCTCCCCAAGCGTTGAAAGCGAAATCAACGCCACAAATATTTGTAGAACCTTCACACGGAACTTTCCGAGTAAGAAATATTGGACCTGTGTCTCTCAACCAACAATCGTTGGTTTGTATTTCCACTATTCTTACATTACTCGGCAATAAATTTCGACACTGTTTCCAAGAACTTATAGAAGCAGCCACAGTTATTTTTTCATATTTCGATAACGTTTCAATGAGCTTTTGGAGCAAATATGAGAAAAAAGCAGCATGAAAGGGTCAAGCTTACCTTAACAAAAGCTTCTTGGGCAGGTTTTCCGTCCTTTCTCCAGTTATCAGGTCTCTCTGGCCAGCCTATCCAAGACTGACTATGTTGCACCCACTCTGCAGGATACACAAACTCTTCTAGTTTCATCACTCCCATTTCTCCAAAATTTCGTATGCAGAACCAAGAAAGGAAAACAAATTGATGAATGTCGAGTCTGATAGACAGATTCTCCTGGTCTGATAGACCAGCATTTGAATTCCTTTCGACAAGAGTCGTGGGATGAAAACTTCTACTTACAGTTAAAATACTACTTTGTTTTTATTTGTTGTATAAACTAGTCTTATGCGCTGGATATAGAGAATTACCGTTTTGATCATAAGCTGAAGAAGATTTATATAGAAGGACAAGACTCCTGCAAAATTCTTTATTAGAAAAGAGGGTTACTGTAATTGAATGGTTCTAAAAACTTTTTCTAAGAAGACAACTTTTCTCACCGTTTTGCGAACACAGGAATACTTACTTCCTTGTAAAAAATAATGGAAAGTAGCCCTTACACTGGAAATTCTCGACGACACATTGAAGAGGACTTCTTAAACCAAGATTTACAATAGTGCAGACAGCGATGTATCCGAGACAAGCACGGTTGCTACGTTGCTTAGGTAATATCACAACCTGCTTTAAAATTTCAAAGGAAACTCTATGTGTTATATACAAATGAATACAATTGGAGAATTTATTTATACTCTGGAATGTCGTAATTCTAAAGAATATCTCGTATCAACGTGTTGCGCTCCAAAAAGCACTTCCAGAAAAGTGAGATTCACATCCGTAAACTTTATTTTTCGGTATTTGTAAACAGGAACAAGGTGAGTTAAACGACTATTGTCAAAACGGATAGTTGTTAGTTACATTGCAATTCGACCTTTTCTTTCGTACTTTCACAGGAAGAGATGGAACTGTAGTGAACAGTATCGTGTCTTAAGCTGTGATTATTTTTGAAGTCTGTCTAATCAAAGGTTTAGCAGTAGGCGGCTTACAACGCATCATTTCTTAATAAATACAGTAACAGCAGCAGCACTCAAAAGCATTTTCTTTCTACATTTGGAGCTACTGTATAGTAAAGGCTGTTCCGAAAATCCTGAGTAAGTAACTCATTCAGTAGCAAAGAACAAGTTTTATATTTAAGGGTCTTTTTAAAATTTCTACTCTATCTTTCACCGGCAGTATTGCAAAGAAAAGCTATGGGCGAATATCTTATTCATCTGTATCGATAATGCAACAACTGGACCAAACGGCATATTCCTCCACTTTCGAAAAC